CATGTTTGCAGTTAGGCTTCCCTCCTGATTTTGAATTTGAACCTTGTGAGTAACCGTTAGGCCACATCACCTTATATCCCTTAATTATTCCAATGCTACGAAGACCCATTATTACCAGTATGGGTTAACACGTGTCTGACTATGGTTGGTAATTTATATTACCTCCTCAAATTGCCATTTTCATCCCACGTGTTGAATTGTGATTGGCTTATACAAATTATACAGCCAACATCTATATTACTATATTGTGCATTACCATATTGTGTTGTTATCATATTGTGTATTATCAGTATAACTTCTCGTTTTCCTATATAACGGAGTCTTGTATTCACTTATATCCATTCATTGAAATATAAAAAAGTATATTCTCTCTCTCTCTCTCTCTCTCTCTCTCTCTCTCTCTCTCTCTCTCCTTTCTCATAACATAGTATCAAAGCCTAGGATTTCCTCCTAGCCTCCTCTTTTTCTTCATATTGTTTCTATCTCTTCGATAGACTGATTCATTTTCACGTTGATTTCTGCGTATCTAGTCCTTCTCTGTTTCAACAATCACTATATGGATCGTTCAAACAACTGTTCTCAGCACTGTAGTTCTTCTAAACCACCTACGACTCATAGTCGGTATCACTCTTCGGCTCAACTGCTACTCATCACCGGCCACATACTTAACATTCTCCAGGTTGCTCTTCTACACCTTCACCAACCTACACTCTTCATGATATTGAAGCCATTGTGAAAAAGGTTCTTTCTACTTCTACCTCTACCTCTACCTCTAGTACACCCTCTACTGCTCTCTCAGTCACTCCAAGTACCTCTTCTTGGTATTTTGATTCAGCTTATTGCAATCATATGACCTCTGACTCCACACTTTCTTTCATTTCATCTTCTTCTAATTTACCAGTTATTTACACTGCTGATGACTCTTAAATGCATGTTAGTCATATAGGTCATATATCCATTTCTAATATCCCTCTACCTCACACTTATCTGCTCTCCAACCTTACCCTTAATCTTTTATCTATTGGTCAACTATGTAATCTTGGCCTCATTGTTTTATTTTCTCCAATTGGTTATGTTGTGCAAGATCCGAAGACAGGACATACTTTTGGGATAGGTTGTAGATATGGTTGTTTGTACAAGCTCATCCATCTGTACATTCCATCATCTAGTACTTCTCCTATCCAGATTGCTACTCCTCCTATAACTACTAGTTCCCCTCTTGCTTTATGGCATTCTCGATTAGGTCATGTGCTTTTGGTTGTTTACGATCTCTAGTTTCAAGCGGTCAATTAAGTCCTGTTCCAAATGATAAAGTTGACTGCCTATCGTGTCAACTTGCCAAACAACCTGCTTTACCATTTCATACAAGTACCTCTATGTCTCATGCACCTTTTGATCTTATACACCCTGATGTTTGGAGGCCTTCACCTAATACCACTATGGCGGGATCTAAATAGTTTGTCATATTTGTAGATGATTTCACTCGTTTCACCTTTTTATTTCTTATGTAATCTCATTCTGAGTTACACCAAATATACTATGATTTTTCACAAATGGTCAAAATTTAGTTTTTTTCCACCATCAAAATTTTTCATGCTAATAATGTCCAGGGATATAAAGAAACTCATCTTTTGAGATTCCTTCATCAAAATGATACATTTTCTCATTATTCTTGTCCTATTACCTCCCAACAAATGGTCGTGCTGAGTGCCAACATTGCCATATCTTAGACGTTGTCTGTGCTCTTTTAATATCTTCTTCATGTCTTGAACGTTTTTGGGGGAAAACTGCTCTCACAGATGTCTATACTATCAATCGTGTCCCTTCCCTTACCATCAACAATCAAATCCCGTATGAGCGTCTGTATGGCACACCTCCTGCCTATACTGGTCTTCGTGTGTTTGGATGTGCATGTTTTATTCTTCTTCAACCTCATGAGCATACTAAATTAGAACCTCGTGCTCGTTTGTGTTGTTTATTGAGGTATGAGATTGAACATAAAGGTTATCATTGTTGGTATCCTATTTCTCGTCGTCTCCGTGTCTCTCGTCATGTGGTATTTTGGGAACACAAGATGCTTTTTTCTCTATCTAAGTTTCATTTGTCCACTCCTTCTACTACACCATTCTTTACAAATCCTTCTCTTCTGTTTGATGAGCTTGATACATACCTTACTTTTGACATGATGACTCTGGCCCATCCTAAAGATTCTGCTCTGCCTTCTGGTCCTGCTGCTCTACTTTCTGATCCTGAGTCTGTTCCTATTCCTGCTTCTGCTCATGCTCCACCTCCACCTCCACCTCCTAGTCTTGTCTTCATTCCCTCTCATAGTGAGCCTCATGCATCCCTTGATTCTACTTCATTATCTTCTACACTAGAGGTATCTCTTCGTCATTCTACTCGGGTAACATAACCTTTTGTACTTCCTCATGATTTCATTGTTGGTTCTATTGCTTTTTCTTCTCATGAACCTATTTCCTATCGAGAGGGTTGCTCTAACTCTCTTTGACAGCAAGCTATGATTGATGAACTGTAGACTTTTGATAAAATTCATACCTGGGATGTAGTTGACCTTCCACTTGGAAAAAGTGTTGTTAGTTGCAAAAGGGTTTACAAGATTAAAACCCATTCTGATAGTTCCATCGAGCGTTATAAAGCTCGACTTGTTGCCCGGGGGTTTAATCAAGAATATGGGATTGATTATGAGGAAACGTTTTCCCCGTTACTCGTCTTACTTCAGTTCACAGCCTCTTTGCCATTGCTATGCTCACAATTGGAGTCTTTTTCAGATGGATGTCAAAAATTCTTTTCTCAAGGGTGATCTCACTGAGGAAGTCTATATGTAACCTCCTCCTGGTTCCTCAGTTTCGTTCGCCAAAGTTTGCAAACTTCGTCGTGCTTTGTATGGTTTGAAACAAGCTCTTCGTGCTTGGTTTGCCAAGTTCAGTTCTGTCACACCCCAAATTTTTAATTACTCAAAATCATTACCAAAAGCCTTTAATTTAGGTCCATTTTTATTTTTATTATTATTTTTTATAAATGTCTATTACCCTTGAGTAATAGAAATATAATAATACATCCTCTCTCTCATAATGAATATAACAATAATAATAATACATGCCAAGCTTCCGCTATAGAGTTACAAATAAATAATCACAAACGTTAATATACAGGATTCAATTCTTTCACATGTACCATGAAATTACACATAAAAGATACATGAACTTCTTAACTCTCCAACCAATCAATTCAAATTCTCTTCCTATAAGAAAAATGAAACAACGAAGGGTGAACACAATTGCCCAGTAGGAATCTCATAGTTCCAAAACAATAACCATCCTATAGATAGAAATGATCATAAAAAAAATTTTGAGAAAAAAAAAAAAAAAAAAAGTAAAAAACAGAACGCAAATATCTTCACTGAATTCAAGATACTATTAAAACCATCACATTTATTTAATATCTTTAAGACATTTTATTTTATATCCATCTCAATATTAAGCAATGTCCAAAAGAGTCTTTAACATTTGCCTTAGAAATAAGCTTCAAAACCATTCCAGATTTGTAGAAAACTCCCCAATCATGTGCTGTTCCAACTATAGTTAGAGGAAAATGTTCATAAGTATATTGCCTTTGGGTAGTGAAGTTGGGAATCGGATGCTTATTTTATCATGAGCCTAGCTAAATGTGTTAGAAGTCTTTAAAAAAGTTTTGGTACCACTACTAAAAAATGCCCCTTTTGTGATGGAACTAAAAAAAAAAGTGTGGTGGTTATAATGGTGACTGTGATAATAGAGTGATAATGGTGATAGTGATTGTAGTAGTGATGGTGGCGGCAAAGTAGTTGTTACAGTAGGGTTGGTGGTGAGAGTAGTGATGAAAGTGGAGGTGAGGGTGGCATAAACATAAAAGATGGTGACAAAACTCTTTAAACATCCCTTCCATTTATGCTTTTGTCGCCAAAACTCAGATTTGTTTTTTGCACTATTAGCAATTGAAATTTTGTCGTGGCAAATTACCCTGAGATGCCATCACAAGAGATGGTGACCGTAACTTTAGCGTCACTAGAATGTATAGCGACAAAATAATTTGTATCACATCATTTGCCATCACTAATATCCTTTTGTGATTACATATTTATAATGAGTATTGCTAGTAACACTTTCAAATCGCCAGAAATCCCTTTGTATTGAAATTTGACCAAACATTGGGTACCCTTTGAATGAATTAGGTTTCCTTTACCTTGCCCTAAATGCCCGACCATGTCAATTAGCATTTGGTTTGTTGGCGGTTCGATTATATGCTTGATTTAACTTTTTTAATTTTTATTTTTGTAAACCTTATGAAAGCATTATCACGGTTTATATTAGCTGATAATCATGTTTCATAATTAATAAATAATAATAATAAATTGATAGATTCTTTAGCCTTAAAATCTCTTCCCATGATTGCACCTACAAATGTATGATTGTGGTGATAATTTTAAAATACAAAAATCTTGAGACATGATTTTGTGAATGAGAATATATTAAAACATGAATAAAAATTTTGAGAATAGAGGATTTCATGTCAGTAATAGTCTCATAGTTCAACGACATCATTGTAAGTCTCAATAAATTTGCAAACACAACCAACCACATAAAAACATAGATAGAACAATATGTGTGAAATTGTAACTTTATGATAGGCCATAACGTTTGATAGTTATGATCAAAATTGTTTTTTGTGATTGATTCTGTGTCTATAAAAATTGTTACATATAAATTTCATATGTACTTTTTTTTCTCTAGATATAGCAATGCCCATACTTTTGGTTGGAGAATCATATTCCTCATACGTTGTGAATTACTAATGAAGTTTAGGAACTCCGTCAATTGAATGCCAACTCAATCTAATCATGTAGAAAAAGTGAAAGGAATCCCCAAATGGGTATTAGATGCATTGTCATCCACTTTACAATCACAAAACAAGCCTTATAAATAGCATGTCCAAAACACACAAACTCATACTTCAAAAATTGAGAGAAAAACAGAAAGAAGAAAATGATTATCCAAACTGAGGACTATCCTTGTGTTGGCTACCAACAGCAATCCTATGCTGTCCACCAGGAGTCCGGTTGGTACCCACCAAGCAGCTACCACAGCAACGTCCCTAGCATCATCTCTCCTCCACCGTCAAACCACCATATGATGGTTTATAGTGGTGGCCATGCTCAGCCACAACAAGAGGGGTGGACTGATGGGAAGGACAAGCACTACCAAACTGGCTGGCATGGAAACAGTGACCAGTACAGCTATGGATACAATTCTCAAAGTTCTGTGCCGAATGGAGGATATGGGACGTACCATGATGGAAAATTCCCTGTGGCAACAACAACCACGGTGCAGACGGTGGGATATTCATATGGAAGTGGTTGGGGTGGCGGTGATGGCAGGCATGGCCAGGTTTATGATCAGCAATATCCCGGTAAAGGAGGGTGCCAGAAAGTGGAGTACTATGCAGTCAAGGGGGTTTAATTTAACCACAGAGAAATGACACTATGGTTAAATGTACTCTGCTTTGGCAATAACTTAATTAGGACCCCTCTCTAAATAATGTTCAAGATGACAATAACCTACTAAACTGTATTTGCTACGCTAGTAAAGACAAATAAATTGTAATAAATAATAGCTATTGAAATATAATTAGTACTTCTGTTTCTTTGCAAACAATTGTGCACATTTAGGACTTACAAGTGTGAGCTTGGAATGGACTAAATTTTCAATAAGTAGACAAATAAATGTATAAATAATCCAATTCGATGCCTGAGTAGCCATGGTGGCCGCAATGCAGTTGTTGAGTACATGATTCAAACATTGTACAACTTAAGGACCTAAGTTATTTGTCAGTCCTTGAGATTGTTTTATGGGCTTAACTGCAAAGAACATAGGCTGAAAGAGTACATGATTCAAACATTGTACAAATTTTTTGTCAGTGCTCTATATTTTACTTTCCCGTGCCCTATATAATTTCTATTGTGACAGCTTGTTATCTCTAGCAGTTGTCACCAAATCAAATCTTTGAGTTCTACTTATGTAATTCGGTTACTAATTGAAAGCCAGTTTTTTTTTTTTAGGACGAAGAAATCCAAGGAGCAGTGAAAGGAAAAGATCAATACGAACTTTCGCTTGATGATGATGTTAGAAGTTCCTCCGAATCCACCGAAGAACACCTCTCTTTTGTGAATGTAACTGTAAAAACAATTCCTTGATGAAGTCAATATGAAACTTGTAGATTCATTGATTACTCTCAAATCATCGAAGAAACACTTATAAAATACCCTCCAATATACCTTACTTTGGTTTTTCTTTCTCTCAAAAAGACTGGACATGTTAAACCCTACAAACAGCCAACAACGCATTTATAGTAAACAGGATAGTGAAGATTGCTCGAGCACACACTTTATTGCTCGGGCGGTGTGAGTAAAGGCGGTATAAAACATATAGGCCGACTACTTGAGCACACATTCACTGCTATAGCGGTGATCCCCGTACATAGTCAGTGAAGTGGCAAACAGAGAATGCTCAACATACAGAATGTCAGCACAAACTCCACTACTCAGGCACTACTCGGGTTGGATTCGCTTCTAAATTCACAGTCTCATTGAAAAAAAAAAAAAAAAGTAAGTTGTTATTGTTGAGGATCATGTTGAGTTCCCTACTGGACTATATGTTCATCCCACGTTGTTGAAATCTTTTCAGGTATTAAGCTGGTTGAGCCACAAGAATTGGAGCTACTTATGTGTTGGCCACGGGGCCTCTTTGTGTTGGCCGAATGCCTTATATGTAAAAGGGTTACACCCTTCTTCTTGACTTTTTAATGATGTAAGCCCAAGGGCAATTTGTTTAGTGTGCTCATGTTGTATATAATTTGCATACGAATGAGAGAATCGTTATTTATTTCCATTTGTTGAACCAAAGAGTTTTTTTTTCCATGTTATCTCTAATATTGAATTAAACTAATGAATTTGGTAATGATTTCGAGTAATAAAAAGTGGGGCGTGACAGGTGCTCTGCTATCTCTCTCAAGTTTTGTGTTGTGAAGACGGAGTTCAATCAAAAAAGACTTTGTGGTCTGAAGACGGAGTTTTGTAAAACCCTAACCTAATCTAATCTTTAGCACTATGAAAAAGGTTAAGTGTGTATTTAATATTTTTTCTTCTAAATACATATTTATATATATTAATTGGACATTATTTTATTTTAATTTTTTTTATATTAGTTGTAAAATTAAAAAATTTATAAATTTTATTGAATAGAAAATCATGGAAATCTAATTGAAATAACAAAAATTATAACCAAATAATAGAATGTGAGTCCTATAAATTAATAATTGGGAAATTTAACCAAAACCTCCTAGGCCCAATATATTAATGTGGGAAGAACAGTCTAAAATATTTTACTTTCTAAACCTCTAAGTAATAAGCACTCCCTCCATGAAAGATATACTATTATTTTTTTTCTTTTTTCTAAACAATTTTGCATCTACGTGTATATATATATATATATATCTCACAGAGTGTAAGAGAACGCAGTACTATATATTGGGACACCATAAATATTTAATTAATTTTAACTCCGCATCAATATCAACTAAGGAAAATGACTTAGACCCCGAGCTGGGGGTGCTGGGGGTCGTCCCTGATTGGTGCAAAAATAGTTTTTTTTTTTTTTTGGATTTTAGCCAACCACACGCTGCCACGTCACTGGGGGTGCCACTGGGGTTCAGAAGCAATGCCCATTAATACGAATCCCAGTGTAGGTTTCCGACAGCAATGTTATGTCATACCCCAGGAGGGTTGGAGCTCCATAAATGGTGTGGGGGACACATGCACGGTTCTGTTCTTCCTTCACTAGAGGTGGGTCAAGAGTCCCTAGCAAATCGATGTAGGACGGACTCCCACTCCCCATGTTAGCCCCCCAACATGTGAGTTCGTGTGGTGCAGTTACGGTTTCCACAGACGGCGCCATTTGTGCTGACCACCCCACTGCCGAAGCATGGGCCAAAATATTGTCCGCTTTGTACCACGGAGGCACACACTATTTTGTTCTTTCTTTCCTAGAAAAGGCCTCTTGGAGGTTTGTATGTATGGCACACTTTATAAAGTGGGTCAAGCGTCCCTAGCGAACCAATGTGGGACAAATTCCCACTTCCCACAAATGGATATCACATCAATGTCATAGGCTTGCAGATGACAACACCGAGTCCATACTTCACCACTTCCCAACTTTCAAACCGTTCTATGGTGGTTAATGGAGGCTATGCTCAGCAACAAGGTAGTGGCTGGTATGGCAACAACAATTATGGTTCTAATAGTGGCTATGTGCCGCCTTATAGTCATGATGATCTCAGCTTTCACAAAGTGGTAAGCTCAACAATTTGCCAGCTAGTAGTGGATATGGTACTTACCTACCAATGCAACGCCGGTAGCTAGTGGTGGATACGGGATGCCACCAATGGGCAATGGAAATAATAACCATGGCTAAATGGGCTATATACAACCTTCTAGTTACATGTATCGGATTTCACTGAGCGATAGAATCAACAACTTGGCGTCTTGCAATGCTGGATATGGAAATAGCCAAACCAATGCAACAGCTAATAGTTCATCTAGATATGGAACATACCCTCCAAATGAGACTAGTAATGGTGGATATGGGATTTTCCACGATGAAAGTATTCTCAAAGGTGTTAAGGCGCAGGAAATGAGTAATGATCAGCAACATCCTAGTAACAGGGACCAGAAAGTGGTTTATACAATTAAGGGGGTTGAATGGAAAGGTTGATCAAAAAAATTAAGGGGTTTGAATGGAAAGAGGGAACCAGAAAGTGACCTATACAATGCCATACAAAAAGAATTTCTATACAAAAATTCCATATAGAATGATGTGGATTATTTATAGCCATTCGTTGGAAATCAAAAAGCCCACCAGTTTGCATCATAATTGCATAAATGCCATTGCTAGATCATTTTGTATGGCATTTTGTACGAAAATTTTGTGTATTTAGCATTTTCCAAGTGGAAATAGTCTCAACAATATTAAGATGTAGCAGATGGGCTGTGATCAGCCGGGCCGGCCCTGAGTTCGTCGGGGCCTAAGGTGAATTTCGGAAATGGGGGCTCTTTTATATTGAAAAAAATTTTATGAATAAAATGATAAGTTACAATTTTTTTATTTGTTTGTAACCATAAAAAAATTTACTTACACATATAATCATTAAAATTATAAATAAAGCAATTTAATAAAACAAAATTAGAACGAAAAAATTAGGAAAAAATTATTCAATTAAAATTGATAAATTCCTAGGTAAAAAAATTTGAGCAAAATTATTTGTTCCACTAAAATCTAATAGATAAAGAAGGTAAAAATAAAAAATAAAAAAATAGGACCCATATATTGTATGTATTATTTTTCTTGAGTCCAAACACTTTTTTTTTAATATATATTTTTATTTTAATAAATATGGACCAAACTACACCTATAAATAAATATGAAGTAAATCATACATGGACCCAAAAAAATATTTTGGGGCCCTTTAAATTGATCCTAAAATCAAAAAAAAAAAACATTGAGCCTATAATATTTTACCAAATTTAGGGGCCCTATTTTTGGGCCAAATTTAGGGGCCCTATTGTTTTTTATTTATTTATTTATATGTTTTCATTTTAATAAATATGGGCCAAACATATTTATAAATATATATGGGCTAAATTATACATGGGTCCAATAAAAAAAAGTTGAACCTATAACAATTTTTTTAATTTTGAAGCCCTATTTTTGGGCCAAAATATGGGGCCTAAGGCACAAGTCTTACCTGCCTTAGGGCAGGGCCGGCCCTAGTGATAAGCAATATCCCAGTGAAGTATATCAAAAAGTGGAGTACTGTGTAGTTAACGGGGTTAACTAGACATGGCTTGAGATTGACTCATTAAATTGATCTTAAAAAAAAAAAAAAAAAAAAAAAAAGAAAAAGTTGAACCTATAATAATTTTTTAAATTTAGGAGCCCTATTTTTAGGCCAAAATATGAGGCCTAAGGCACAAGCCTTACCTGCCTTAGGGCAGGGCCGGCCCTGTGTTCTAGGACCCCAACTCCTCTCCAGTAACGGAAGGAGACTGTTCAATGTTGGTGGGCCTTGATGTGAATTCATATTGATTATTTAAATTGTTTCACATATAAAATTCGTCACCTAATAATTTTGAGATTATGAGTTTAAATTTTAGAATCATTATTTTGTGTATTCTATCAAAAGTTAGGTATGTAATCAATCTTTTCCCTTCTAAACACATTAATATGCATTAATTTGGCATTATTTATAAAATTCGTCAAGTATATTATTTTTATAAAAAATTATATTAATCAAATATCGAACGATTTGGATAGAGGAAAAATGATTAATTAAAAATATAATTTTAAAATTTATTTAACATACGAATCGTCTTTTATGATTTTAAAAATTAAAAATTACGAATACTTCTTTATAAAAATAAAATTAACAAAATTAGTAGAAAACATAAAATTTCTAAATACTCTGTTACACAATAATAAAGTTATTTGAATTGTTAATTGAAATATATTTCTAATATTATTAAAAGTTATTAATTGTCTTAATAATTTATTAATAAAATAAGTTATTTGTTATGTGATTAGAACTTAAAGGGACAAGA